GAGTGCGGAGAAGGGACTGGAACCTTGCTGTGGGCGCGCACACACCCCAGCTGCCTCAGTTGGGGGAAGAGGTAGAGAGAGGGAAGGGAAGGATCAGGGCTTGGGCAGAGGAGGTTGTCTCAGCCCTTCCCTGGGCAGAGGGGGCATCTCATGGCCAGTGACCCCACAAATCCCTCCTCACCAGTCGCTTCTACCTCTGTCCTCTGCTCTTCCCCGCTCTGGGATTCAAGTCAAGAGGGAGAGAATTGAGACAGGAGGAACCTATAAATGATTAGAACCTGGAATTGAACTCTGTTTCCAGGTGACACTTGCTAGGAAATAGCTGTGAGCCCAACCCACTCGCAGAGTGCATCTCCATCCCTCTCCAACGGTGTTCACATAAACAGCAGGCTGTTAGCTTCTAAGAGTTATGTCATAAGTAAGGTAGTACGGGACTGCTCTGGAGAACCACAGATACCAACTCTGCTGGTGATCTGTGTGTACATGGCCGAAAGAAGGGTCTATAAGGCATAGAACCACACACTGAATGACGAAGATACAAAAATACTGAATTAATCCTGTGTGACAAATAAGGAAAAGGTCCTGTATAAACAAATTATGTGATCATGTCATTAGCTATTGTGCCATACTGTAGATGTACATGGGGGCCAAATTAGGGTTGCACAGGTAACCTTCTTTTTGGCATTTCCTAGCGGTTGAATGCATGAATTTGCAAACGCCACATTCTTCTACTACAGTGCTCTGGAGCTAGCGAAAACACGATCTCATGCACATTTTCTATAACTGGCCTTATTCATGTTGGATGAATGGATAAGATGCCAGTTCTAGCAGTATATGGGTGCCTCAGGCACACGTGGCAATTCAGTGACCGACAGAGAATTGCCCTATTGCCACCAGCACTCCCTACCCAAAGGCAATCCCAATGAAATGACTAGAACTGTGTGTAACAAAGGATTGCAGATGCAGGCCTGGATCTAGACATTTATACATTCGCATTATGGTTCTGCTCCTTCAACACATAAGCACTACAACAAAAACAGCTTCTCTTAAAAAAGGTCCTCTGTGAGCCACCATCCAGTTTACGAGCTAGGAACAATGTTCAAATCACTTTCTCCCTCCCCTTCAAATCCTGCTCCCATTTAAATCCATGGACGTTGTGCCACTGATGGAATAGGGGTAAGCACTGAGTGCCCATTTTTCAATATCATAAGCACGGTAGTAAATTCACAAGCCAAAACAGGTCTTTAGACTCCCAAGAACGTTGCCGCCAAAATTTGAAGTGTTTTTACTAGGTCAAATTAAGGAGTTTAACTAACAGTGTCCCTGTAAGGAGTTTTCCAGCTGTAGTTTCAATTAAAAGCAGACAGGGGGTGGGGAGGAGAAGGTTGCCTTTATAAAGCCTCAGTTAAAAAAGGATGCCAAAACAACTCACTGAACATTCAGAAATGGGGATCAGTGAGTGAGATCACTCCCAAGAATTCTATTAACTGGATGTTGAGTAACATTTTCCTCCTCCTGCACTTGTTTATTTCAGGTCACCATTTTAAATAAACTACACAGTGATTAAGAATAAACCTTTAGACTAAGGTTTTTCCTTTCTTCAAGGTGCCTTGACCCCTGAACTTGTTATGAGCCATAAACATTTTACAAGCATTTGTAATCAACTTGCTGAGGGAAGAATTTTATTCAGTCTTTTACAGAGCAAGATACCAGCAATCTATTGCTTAAAATTTTTTTTTACACTAACCTTTTTTTAAAAACAGGCAAAAATTTTCATTCCATTAGATTCCTACTTAAAATACTCCCAAGCAGAAAAGACAACTTTTCTAAGATTATATTTCATACTGTGGCACAGTCTACCACTTTGTCCACCAGTTGTATAAGACTTGCTCCTTTTCTAGTTATTAACCTTCTATTAAAAACAGAATTGTACACTGGGCAAGATATTTTCCTAAATGAATACTAAAAAAAAGAGGAAGCTGGATATAAAAGAAGGAAACTTGGAGATGAAGCAGCATGCCTTGAGTATACACATAAGAAACTGCTATAAAATTGATACAATTATTTGGCAAACGTTTCCTGAAGTAGCATAGTTATTAATCTACTACGAATAGCAAATATTTCCACCTCTCCATTATCTTTGTATTCAGCAACCACAAAAAACTGATGAGCCGCACTCTACATGGTGGTGAATAATACAGCCTCTCCTTCACTTAGGAAAAAGCTTTATAAATGCACGTTAAAGTATATACAGTTGGGACCTTGCTGATTTAGCACCCTTGGGACCTGAGTGGTCCCAAACGACAGTTTTCTGGACCAGGGGAGGTCCATCCTGCTCCTCGCAGTAGGCTCACTGCCCTTAGTCCTGCTGGGACTGCGCTTCCTGCCCGGGGCCAGGGCGACACTCCCTAGTGCACTGACATCAGGTAGTCACACTTGCTGGTAAGGGCTCAACTTTAGTGGAGGAGCCTAGACCAGCTAGCACTTTAATAGTTTAGGCCAGGCTAGACAAAATACACAACTGGAGTGCTAATAAGAAACCTTTAAATTAAATAAATGTTACATCATATAAACAAACATTAAACAAACACACAAATAAATCTGTAAATATGACCTACAAAAAGTGGGATTTCCCTGGGCCTGGAGAGCTGAGGTGCTTTTCCTCTGCTTTATCACTCACTCTTCTACTGGATTCCACAGAAAAGTCTGTGTGGCTGCATTGTAGGAATTAGGAGGGGGATGGGAGCAGAACAGGAGACTGAACATGTTTCCCTGCTCAGCACCCACTGTCCCTCTCACACACTCACCCACTGTCCCTCTCTCACACATATACATACACACTCCAGCTTCGAGTCCTATTGCGCTTCCATCACAATTGACACAAACGATACCACTAATAGGAAACTGACAATAGATGCACCAGAGAGTCAGTCTCTACAGGACTTTGGTATCTTTTCTTCACTGGTCCAGTGACTCATTTGCCCATCCCCATTCATGGATGACAGCTCCCTGAAAATCCCAAGAGGGAAGCCTCATGGAGTTCTCTAGCTGCCTCTCTCAGGTTCCTCCGCAGGTGCTCTGTCCCTTACATACTACAGAGCATACGAATTTGGTCAGTCTCCCCTCTGGGAGCATTAAGTGTAAATACTCTGTACTGTGACATGGTGTAACAATCCAGTGCAGGTCCTTTTTTTTTTTTTTTTTTTTTTTGAGGTGGGGGTGGGACCCAAAAACACACACAAACAAAAACCACACCTCAATGAAGCCAGTTGGACAGGTTAGACACTGGAAACGTTTCATGAGAAAAGGGATTCATGATGTGGCATGAACTGCTTCTAACAAGTCCATTGTAAACAAAAAACAGTTTCAATTTTAATAGAGCATTAGTCACATATCTCAGAGCCTCTCAATGAATGTATCCAGTGCCCTGAGGGTAACTCTATTCCTGCTTATTGAGTGGAGTGGGGGATGGCTCTACAGCCAAGTAATTCTTTTTGTGTAGGAGACAGAAAGTAAAGCTCAGGAGCATAACCTCTTGATAAGAAAGCCAAGTAATAAAACTAGTCTCTGAGCACCCTGACAGTTATAGTTCCACTGTGTCTGTGCAGAACGCCCACTGAAGTCAAATGCAGGTGTTCAAGGGTAGGATTTTATCCCATAACTTCATTTTGCTTCAAGCACAGGAGACTTTTCACTGGATCAATAGCAGCAATCATTTAGTTTCTTTCTGGTGGGCGATCTCCCTTTGATCCCTATACCCAGCTTTTCCAAGTTAGAATTGGCCAATTTTCTTTCGTTTCTGTCAACAACCAAAGCCATTCACCACTACCATTGGATGAAATCATGAAACCGCAAATGCACCCTCCAGTTACAAAGGAAATATTTCTTTAGAATTTCTTCCCTTCACCCATATCCCCTACATTTCGTTTTCTTATAACCATTGTCTCCTTAATTTCTATGCACCTTTGCCTTCCCAGTAACTGAAGTAGTTTCTTTGAGGGTCTTTGTTGTTGTTGTTGTTTTGTTTTTGGAAGGCGAGTTTTTGAAAATGTTCCCTCCCTTGATAAACAAGCCCTGCAAACCTTCGTTTCAGCTCAAGAAGATCGTCCCTTCTCCCTCACTTGCCCAGATAAGGATGCAGGAACTAGAGTAGAAGATGCAAGCCACATCTCTAAAAGCAGAGTGTGCTGCATCCACAGTATTGTTGGTTCCTCTTCGGCCCAAAGACCAAAATCCACCCTAAACTGATGTGTGCACGCCTCCCATTGGTCCACTTACCCTACAGTGTTAGCTTGCCCATTTCTATGTAGAGTTCTCTCTTCTGCCCACTTTCTCCCCCTTTACCTGGTATGAAATGTGTGTCTGTCCATCTTCTTCTGAATAAGACAGCCTGCTGCTCCCCTCCTTCAATCCTCAAACACGCCCCCCTGCTCCTCCCCAAAAAAACCCTAATCCGGTAGAATATCAGCTCTCTCTTTTGCCAGTTCAGACTTTGGGAAATTTGAGAGTAGTGGAAAGGAGAGAATAGATTTTTAAAGCCACACAAGATGGAGAATATGGTGTTCGTTTCCAGAGTGTGGACATTTTAGTTCTATGATCTGGCTCAGCGATGAAGGGACACTCCTCTCCCTCCCTGCCCCCCACCTTCCCAAGGCTTTGAGAGCCAGGCACTGCATTCCTAATGCAACTACAGGGACAAATATAATCAACATTTCTAGGTAAAAAGGTCTAAAGCCCAATTCTCATTTTATGGAGCCATAGTGTAAATAGAAGTCAGGACCTTAAGCTTTATAGAGAGGCCTGCATGTGCAATGTATACATCTGCACTTAGTACTGTAACTATTTTTAAACCCTACAGTGAAGTGTATAAACTTAAATAAACTGACTATAGCATGTTCAGTAGAATACTTTCCTTAATATATGCACAAAGGCAAAAGCATGCACACTCTCTTTACATACAGAATTATACCCTCCCTCTCTCGAGCAATCTTGCATCCTACCTGAAAGTAAGTGTACAGAGTTGAAGTTGTTCTCCAGCTTGCCCAGAAGTACAGTAAGAAAGCAGTCAGATGAGAGAGAGGCAACATCCTTGGAACTGTGATCATATACCACCACCTCCTGCTTGCAGTCAGTCTCAATCTGAAAAGCAAAGAATCGAAGGTAAGGGAAAGGATAGGAAACTTCCCCTCCCCCTTCCACACCCCTTACACAACAGAACTAAGAGACCCTACATATTTACTGTCCAGTGATTCCAGTACCTGGATTTTACATAAAAAATGATATTTTTATACTTATTAGACCTGACTGAACTGTATCCCTCTAGGTACAGTAAATGGAATGTCTGATCAGGGCTGAAGCTTGCATGAGGTTTGTCCACTGGGCAAAACTGAGCCACTTTAAACAAAAAAGTTTACCTGAAATAAGGATGTTTTGCATGCAAATATAAAGCAGTAAACTTTAGTTTCTTCTCTCAAACTATTTACCTCTCCAAAGACATTAAACTGCTGCAAATCTATTTTATTACACCTATAAAACATGTTAACTTAATTTTTTGAAAATTATACATTCCAGATTACACTATGTATAAAATGTCAACCTGAAGCAAAACATTCATGCAGAGCGAGTATCTGTCTATTTCTCCTCTCTCCATCTTTTCTCCCACACCCAAAATATTTTGGAAACACTGATAGACCTCTTAAATAAAATTTGAAAATAGAGATCCATTTAAATTACACTTACATTTTATTTGGATTTAAAAGAAGCAATTCAGAGTTAAACCAAAGGGAGAGAGAACTGTATCTTACATTTCTCCAGAATGGGGGAGCGGGGGTTTGCAATGTACACATTTCTTTCCATAACATACAAACCCCTTATTAAGCAATCCTTGCTGCCCTAAAAGGCCATTCCAAACAATCCCTGAAAAGTATGAAATACAGTTCTCTCCCACATGTATAAGAATACAACTTCCCACAAGTGGATTTTAATGTTGGTCTCTCAATTGGTTCCTTACCATAAGATTGACTATATTTCATGCACCAAGATGTTCGGTGTTTAATTTGCAAAAATAGAGTGGAAATACGAATTAGCTATATATAAAGGACCATAATACACGAAACCCTCTTTTACACAGTTAATAAAAAGGTGAATTGATGTTTTTGGTTTTTTTAACTGGAGTAATCTTAAATTCTTAAAATATGACTAATTTATAACAACACTTCATCAATAGTTAAATTACTATAGCTCTTTAGAACTAGATCAAGTTATGGAAGTGTGCAGATTATCATTTCACTACAGAATAGGTTAATTTTATTTTAAAATTTGACTTCCACACCCTCTTAGAAAGGAAAAAAAAAAGCAAAGCCACCCTTACCTTGTGTTTTGCTGAATGTTGAATGAGTTCTGTAATCACCACTTTGTCCTGCTGCAGCCTCCGCTTCATAAGCTTGGAGCAGTTGATATTGATAGCATCCGAGATGTGGAACGTATTGTATTCCACAAAGGGGCGGCTATCAATCAGTAGCAATTTTTCTGTGCCACTTTCCAGTAAAGCCGCCAATCTCTCAGCAACCATGAGTTGAGTCCTGATCACCTCATCAGCCATGACAACAATAAGGCCTCTTTTACCACCTCCCTCTCTAATTTGCAGAGATGATGTAATGGCTATGTACTCAAAGGCTTAGCCACTCCATTGTACTGAAAGTGTATGAGGTCATGCTGGTAGTGGCTGGCAAAAGAAAAGTTAAACCCATTTTCAGAAAGAGCCCTCCAAGTGAATGTCTCCTGCTTCCAGTTGATGCGCTGCTACAAAGGACTCATTCCACAAAGCAGCCCCTCACATCTGATTCATCAGGAACCAACTATGGAGTAGCCATTTCACAATTCAAACAAAAGATGCTTTTGGGCTGCTACTGCATTACATCATTCTTTACCTATGCTCCCAGCTTTACCACCAGACTCAGTGCCTAAGAAGAAGAAGAAGAAGAAGAAAGAGCTGTAAGTACACAGTATTTGATGTTATCACAATCTAACCCAGTATTCTACAGACATTACATTTTTAATATATACTTGAAGCTTCACATTGTCTTTGCTGTACATTCCAAAGAGTATGGATAATATCTGGACGTGTGGGTTCTGACTCAACTCCAACTATCTGGGCTCTACAGTTACCCCATTCAGGCAAACACACTCACTCAGAATTTTGTTGCCACTGAATCAATCTCTTCATAGGACTGTGTGTTAGAAGAGAATTGTCTGACACTGGCCTAAGCAGTGGAGTTTTTATTCAGAAAAGTTTGTTTGGCTGTGCTACAGCAGAGTTAGTGAGAAGACCTACATTTTATTAGAGAAATGTAAGAGCCTGGTGCTTTGAAAATGATTGTGTGTGTGAGAACCTACACACACTCTTAAAAGTTTCACCTTAGAGGTGAGGGCAGGTGTGAATGGAAATTTTCCAGAGCTAAAATGGTACATCAATTCCCCTGATTGGAGAAGGTGATTGAAGAGACCTACAGGACCCAGACATTTTGGGTTCTCATTCAACACAGAGTACTAATGACAGAAGTCTTGTCTATGCTAGAGAAATTCACCATGCCAAGCCCTGTTGGTTCAGTTTAACTGGACTTGTGAAAGGTGTGGTGCAAACATTTACGTACATGCAAAATACCATTCAGAGTTGACTTCAGCAGAGCTCATTACTAAGGGCTTGTCTCCACTGCACCATGCAGACGTTCAGGTCCCAGAGCTCAGGCTGCAGCCAGAGCCTAAATGTCTACAGTGCACTTAAACAACCCCTTAGTCCATGTCAGTTGGCGTGTGCCCTCCACAGCTGTCTACTTGAAGTGCAGATGTACCCAGCATGAACCATTTATGCTTGCAATATAGGCGGTGCAATATAGCCTTCTCAGCTATAAGTGGTTGCATTCTGTGCTGGTTTACATGTGGTTCTGCAAATATATACAAGTATCATGAGTTTTTGTGGGCAAAACCCACTTCCTCAGATAAACAGAGTCAAGAGCAATGTATAACTATTCATCTCACTGATCCACACTACTTCTAGGGTAGAACTCATCATTTACAGCCCTAATCCTGAACTGGGAGCAGTGCAGAGGAAAGGATGGGATTGCAGATTTCCCAGTGTACATCAGGGTCTCCCGGAACACATCTGCAAGCCTAACCAACACAGGTTCCAAGTGTGCAAGGTGGCGAATGCTTTTCAATCCCACTGATTACAAGTGGAGTTGAAGAGCTTAGCACCCTGCAGGAGGCACTTAACATCTCGCAGAGTCAAGTCTGAAGAAAACAACATCTTTATTGTGATAAGCTCATGAATTCAAATTAATTCAGAAATGATTGTACCCATGGCTTCTGCTATAGTAACAGGTCATTTGACAGTAGGAAATCCCACAGCAGTAGGTGCTCTGATAATTAGACTGATTCCAGATTATTCAAGCAGCTACCGTCATGTACCCAAATAATTCAGAAAAGTGAACTAGGTTCACTCTTACAGAAAGAGTTAATTTTTTTTTAAAATCCTTGGATAAATAACTTGTTACGGAGAACAGTGTTGCATTTACCAGAGCAAGAAAAATTCCAGACTTTTACATAAGCAGTCACTTGGGTTGATAAAATGTTATGTATCTATTTGCCAAGACCCCACTGCTTCATGGCAAATTGCCACTATTCCTATTCAGTTCGTTCCGACTTCGTGAAATACATATTGCTCTAGAGCCCAAAAGTATTTCTAAAGAGCCACAGATTCTTTTTAAAGGCCCTAAAAATAAATTTATATGACCAGTTTCTCTCTCTCTTTCTTTTTTTTTTTTTTTTAAAGAGATGTGTCTCTTTTAGAAAGTCCTTTTAGTACATTTTCTAATACAGTTTTGTAACCTGCAAGCTTCTGGTTATATTAACATAATGGTAATTTGTTACACACACTTTGACTTTAGCTTCACCTCAGTTGGTGGGGCTGCTACTGTTACATTCTAAGTTGCATCATGGGGTTCTGAGTCAGCTCATTGTGCTCCACTGCAACATAAATGACAACATCATGAGGCTGCACTTAATTGCCTTGTCATAAGCAGGTCATTATCTTGCTGATCTTTGGACCAGGAAAGATCTTAGCAAACCCTATTTACAGGATGATCACAGGTACTAAAGTTAACTGGCTGATGTTTTGTAATTCTAGATATGAGGATGACATTAAGTCATCAACATTGAACGTCACCATACTGTACTTTCCCCAGAAATAAATTGTGACATCCAACACTGCTAGCTAGATACTGCATATTATTTTTAAAAAGGACAGTCAATTTGAAATTTAGTCAATTTTTAAAAAAAAGTCAAAAGTGGCTTTTATGTTCTACTCCTGCCCTGGAGTTCTGGGAATCTGTACAGCTTTTACAGGTTTTTTTTTTTTTTTTTTTTTTTTTGCATTTGTTTTTAATGTCTACCCATGCAAATCTGAATTAGTAGTCCTTGAACATATACATGACTCAGGTTTTTAATTCCACGATTACATTTCATTCTCCAACCCCAGAACTCTTCCTCATTCAGTGAATACTCTGTATCAGAGGCAGAGGTGCAGGGCAGCAGGCAAGAGCTCATCTTTGTGGAGAACCAATTTTAAACCCCTCCCCTTACGGACCGGCTCTGCTTGCAACCTAAATATCTGGTCTGACAGTGGCCAGTGCCAAATGCTTCAGAAAGAATGAATACAATGGGTCAACTTAACCTTTTTTGGGTTGGGAGCTACTAAGTCAGAGGGGGGAAAAATAATCAGTCGGGCTGCACACAAGTGAGAAGCCAAGTGAGAAGGAGAAGGACACTCCCCACATTCCCCTCACACATCAGAGCATAGAGGGGCCCAGGCTAGTAAATTTTGTGTGTTCCAGCCCTGCGCATGGGGGCAACACAGGCTCCACAATGCTGAGCCTCAGGGGCCAGATCCAGGTCCAGATCAGTAACTGCTAACAGCTGAGAGTACTTTTAAATGAGTTCAGGATGAATTTTGTTCTTCCTGGCTCAGACTAGGAGTGGAGGAAGAGCATTGTCCTTGCATGAATAACCTGCAAAATGTACATTTAAAAATTCTAGTTTGTATTCTTGACTCTACTGCCAATCAACTACTATGATCTAGAGCAGAGGTGGGCAATAATTCTTGATGGGGGGGCCACTCCAAGGTTTTGGAAAGTGGTCAAGGGCCATACTCTTCCATGATATTAATGGAGATGCAAGGTCTGGAATGGAGATTCGGTGTGGAAGGGAGCTCAGGGTAAGGGACTGGGGTGCAGGAGGGAGACTGGAGTCTGGGAGGGAGCTGGGATGAAGCAGGCAGTTGTGACCTAGAGCAGGGGACTGGAGTGCAGGGGTTTGGGATGTGACCTAGGGAAGGAGGGGATTGTGATCTGCAGCAGAAGATTGGGGTGCCAGATCTGGGAAAGGCTGTGGGTGTCAGAGGGGAACAGAGGGTTTCAGTATGTTGAGTGGGGGTGGGGCAAGAGAGTTGGGGCAGGAAAGGGGTGCCAGAAGCAGGCTGTGGCCAAGAGACTTACTTGCCAGCTGTCAAACTAGGCTGCCTGCAGTGTTTAAAATGTTTCCTAGCCAACCAGTCTGCTTGCCTGGCCATGTGCTTGCTTCATGAATAACTGAGCCCAGGAGAGGGGACGTGATTCTTCTCAGCTGCCTGTTATTCTAACAAGCAGCTCCCATTGGCTGGTTTCTGCCAGAAACCCAGCCAATGGAAATGTGCTGGGGGCGGGATGGCTCCTAAAACTTCCCCCTCCGATCCAGTTTCGAAACAAATGGAGCCCTGCAACCTCATTTCTGCACAGCGCGTGGGCCAAGGTGGGGAGCCTGCCTGGGGCTCCCTGCAGTCTCCAAGGGCCGGATCTGGTGGCTTAGTGGGACAAATCCAGCCCACGGGCCGTATTTTGCCCAGGCCTGATCTAGAGAATTATATCAGTGATGATGAAGTTCTTGTCCAAATTTCTGAACCAATGTAGAACGCAAAATAGACACATTTAAAAAGACTTAATTTCTTGTTTATTTTCAGTATTTGTGGGAATGTGGTAAGTCTCAATATGCTGCCGTCTGCACCCCAAACAATAGCATTTTTCAGAAAGCTCACCAACACCAGCACTAAATGCCAAGTTCTAGTTACAAATCTTTGACCTGGCACTAGTTTTTTAAAAAATACATATTTAGGCCCCAACAATGCAAACTGCTACCTGACCGGGTTTACAAAATGCCTAATTCCCGTGTAAAGTTGATTTGGTGGAGGATGGAGAAGCTTCTTTGCAATTTCAGAAACTGAACACAAATTGGTTTGGGCTGACCTGAAGCTTTTTTGATTTTTCATTTGCTCTAGGTGCGGATGGCTCAGTCTCTCCTGTTGAAGCTGTACTGCTTTGTGTAGAATACACCCAGGTTGCAGACTCTGCTCCAATTTTAAAGTATCTTTTAAGAGTAAAACAACTTCAACACGAAAGACAGAGGAACTCTCTAGATGAGCTGGAGCAGAGACCAAACCAGCTTTCCCCTATCCAGGTGAATGCTTGAACCACTGGGCTGTTTGGTCAAAGGGCAGGCCCATATGCAGGGTGTGTGTGTGAAGGGTGTGAACCCTTAGGGCACCCAAGGTGAAGGCAGCAATGGCACACTTCCTCCATGCTCTAGCTGGCTGGGGGAAGGCTGGGGTTGATTTCCATTCTCTTGCCCAGGAGCAAGGCTGGTGACAGGGCTGGGCTTGGCTTGGGGG